CGGGAATGGTAAAAAGGAAGGGGAAAAGAACGAGTGACAGAACAAGAATAGGCTCGTCCGAGGGAAGGCACCCAGGGGGATAATAGACCAGAAGGAACCAGAGGGAAAGAAAACTCCAGTTCAAGCAGCAAAGAGGTCACAAAGTACAGAGGACTCTGTATATATTCCAGGAGAGCCAGGTCCGGCGACAGGAGTGCCCATTTCATGTGCCAGGAGTGACTCCATACATTCAATATGATCCACCTCCTTGACCCACTCTAAAAAGGGTCGGAACATGGTGCATTCTCCAATGGCGAGGGATGATCAGTCTGGTAGCCGTCAAACAATGACACAGAAGTCCACGTTTAATATGTTTGAAAGAGCCAGGTAGAATAGGAAGCATAACAACCTGTGGTGTATTTGGGACTGCCTGATCTGTAACTGCAGTATAGATACGCAGGATAAGATCCCAGTAGGCATGGATAGGGGGACATTCCCACCAGACATGGAGCAAAGAGCCAGGGGCACCGTAACAGTGCCAGCAGAAATCAGGGGTGGAAGGGAAAATCCTGTGGAGTAGGGTGGGACATCTATACCACCAAGTGAACAATTTAAAATGAGTTTCCTGTGCTTTACTGGTCAGGGACAAAGGATGAGTGAGAGCAAATGACTTCAGCCAGTCTTCGGCTGATATCTGCGCATGAACCTCAGCTGCCCTTCTAGATGTGTACAGTAGGAGGTCAGATTGGACCCTAGAGAGGAGAATCTGATAGAGAACAGAAAGGGGACGCAGGGGAGGAAGATCTTAAAGGAGCAACAATTCAAGAGATGTAAGATCTCTGGTCAGTAAGTCTACATTAAAAAAGTATGTATGTAAAAAAGAGCAGAGTTGCCTATATACCATCCATTGGGCAAACATTGCCCCACGTTTGCAAAAGATGATTGGTCAGGAGTGGTAAAGAAGGACGACTCCGAAAATTCAGGTACTGTCCAGGAAAGAGGTAAAAGATCACAGGGTGCAATAATCTGTTCCAGGGATACCCACTGCTTTGTAGGCGTGTGATGGAACCAGTTCAATAATCAAGTGAGAACTGCTGCTGTATGATATAAATGCAGATCAGGTGCCCCTGCCGTTCTATGTAATCTTGGTTTCCGAGTGCCACAAATAAACTTCGTTAAAAGAAGTCTGCAATGTTTTGAAGAAGGGTCGAGGGATGGCGATAGGGAGAGTCTGGAATAAGTAAAAGAAGCGGGGTTTGACATCCATTTTTAGTATATTGATCCGGCCAAACCAGGAGTATAAGGAATGGTCATAATTCCAAAGATCCTGTAATGTACGTTGAAGTAAAGGGTAAAATTTTCAGAGAATATATGAGACAGGTTAGAGGGGATTTTAACACCCAGGTACTTAAGGATAACTTTCCTTTAAAATTTTGCTCTGGATCTCTTAACTTCCTGAACCTTAAGAGGACAGACATTCAGAATCTCAGACTTTGTAAGATTGACCTTAAAATTGCTGAATTCACTGTACCGATGAAATTCTGATAGGATAGAAGGCAGAGATATATGTGGGTTGGAGACAGAGCAGTAGATCATCCGTGAAAAGAGCCAATTTCACCTCCTTCGAGCCAATGGGGACGCTGGTAATATTGGGGTTACTGCAAAGCGCTATCGTCAGGTGTTCCATAACCAGAACATACAAAAGAGGAGATAATGGACAACCCTGACGGGTGCCATTAGTTGTAGGGAGGCTCATCGTTAGAGAGCCATTCAGGCGAAGTCTAGAAGTAGGGGAGGTATAAAAGAGCGAGAATTTTCTGCTGCATGCCGGGGCCTAATCCTATTTGAGATAGCGCTTACACCAAAAATGGCCACCTCACCCTATCAAATGCCTTCTAAGTGTCCATAGATAGGAGGCAAACGGGGAGTCCAACAGATTGAGCATAGTTCATAACTAAGAGAGTTTTTAAAGAGGACCAGGAGACATTTATATATGGCAATGGAGACACCCCTGATTTTGGATGATGGAAGGACACTGTGAAACCATCTGAAATAATATCTCCTGGAACAAATAGGAAGACTATCGGCACAGAAGTCAGTCTCCTGAAATAATACAATGTCAACTTTAGACTTGTGTAGGGAGTATAGGATTTGTCCCCTCTTAGATTGGTTGTTGAGGCCATTAACATTATAAGAACAGAGCTTAAGAGCAGTAGGGGGTGGTATCCTGGGCGCCATCCTCAGGTGACACTAGAAAGAGGGAGAGTAGAAGTGAAGAGGAAGAAAAAAAAAAAAAAAAGTAAATGGAAAATTTTTAAAAAAATCACTAATCCCTGCCAGAGGGTCAGTGATCCTACGGGGGGAAATAGATACGCATGTAGGGCGCTCGGGGAGGAGACCCCGGTGGCAAACAAGATCTCAAAAATAAAGAAAACCATGAAACAATACAGAGGAAACCCTCCAATGTAAGAACCCCCCCCCCCGCCACGGCTAAGACTACTGGCATATGGAGAATCCCAAGCGTGAAGTAGATGTACAGGCCAGAAAAATATAACATACAGGCCACCCAGCTGGATGCCCGGGAAGGGAACCATTCCTTATCAAAGGCCCACAAAAACAGGTTAAGGTAATAACACAACCTCGAAAACAGTCAAGGAGTAAAATCGACCAAACATGTAGAATGAAGACTAAACATAATGAACACCATAAAGGGCTGGAGCTCCGATGAAAAATTAGGAGCAGCTAGGTCCCCCTACGGAGCGTATGAAGCTAGTCAAACTGGTATTTCGCGTGGCAATGGGAAAACCAACGACCTTCTTATAGCATGCCAAGGGGACAAAGTAGATGGTAGAAGGAGAGTAAGTATTAGGGACTCCCCCCGTAGGGGTCAAATGGAGTGAGGAGAGCAAGGATAATTTACATAGGGTAAATTATACCACTTCCATAGGGAGTCACGGATCTCCGAGATGTGAATCAAGTTCACAGACCAAGTCTTCGACTCATTGCTCCCGTTGATGCACACACACAACATCCATAAACAACATCGCAAGGGATACATATCTCAAGGCTCGCTGTGAGCGAACGAGGTATTAGGCATAAAAGCATCAGAAAAGCAAGAACCACCCCGTAGGGGGGAGGACCCCGCACACTGTCATGGGACAATAACTAAAGAGGCCAATAGGGATGTAGATAACTTAGTACTACAGAAACAATTGTAGAGAAATTAAGTATAAGATAGCTAACAAAAGAAAACAAAGAAAACAAATGGACGCCTCATAAGAAAAAGAAGAAGTGAGTGAAAACACTGGTGAAATCCATATAGATGCACATCAACCGGGGCATTCGGACTCCACTGGTGGCCTAGAGCTTGAAGTAGTTGACTGCGCTGGCAGGGAGGCAGGAGAGTATCCAAATCCTACTGGCAGTGGGTCCATATCCAATCCAGGATAGGGAGATCAGGCAGGTGAAGAGCAGATAACACCATGGGTATATTAGAAGGACATCTAATGATGAATAGCTTGTCTTCTCATTGGATCTTCAATTGAAACGGGAAACCCCAATAATAGGAGATGTTGTGTTCTGTAGCAAAGCAAGTAATGGCTTTAGAGCCTTCCTTTTTTCCAGGGTATGAGGAAAGATATCAGGTAGAAGTGTAATAGACCTACCATCAAAGTCCAACTGGTCTTTCTCGCAAGCCTTCCTCATGTCGTCTTCCTTGGTACAGTAGAAGTGCACCTGACAGATGACATACCTAGGTTTAGCAGGGTCAGGATTGCAGAGGCCTAAAGCCTGATGCACTTTATTTCCAAATCCACAGAGTTGGAAGTGCCTAGGAGGCCAGTAAAGATGCCCTGAACCATTGGTAAACCGTTGCCTCGGGTAGCCCCCCAACCTAATGTTATTTCGGTTGCGATTGTCCAAATCCTCATGGAGGAGGAATAGCTGGGCAATGTAGTTTTCATGGGCATCTAAACGTTGCTCCTGAGTCGTCGCAGTGGCAGACAGCGAGTGACCGAGTGACAGATTTGCTCTAACTCGATGGTCTTTGAACAAGTCAGCTGCAACTCTGGCTTGGGGGAATGAAGCTTGGAGCGATACCCTTGTTCAAGGCGTTTCACATAGGCCTCCATTTCAGTACAGGTGGGTAGAGCACGGAGGTAGTCCTGGAGGTCCCAGTCCTCATGCCCATGGCTGTCAGCGGGCGAGGATGGAGGTGACATAGTGGGACACTGCCCATTACACTCAGCAGGCTGCAGGACTGGACTGGGGATAGACGAGAGGGACTGAGAGCGGGCTGAGGTATGGCCGCGTGTACTTACAGTCGCCATCTTATAAGTGTCGCAGGAGCAGGCCCGGCCATCTGGCGTGAAGAACTCCGGAATGCCGTGACGGTGAGTCGTGGAACCCGGTCCCGGCGGGTGGCCGGAGGTGCTGCATCCCCTTTGGCCCATGAGAGACAGGAGGCGATGAGGTAGGGTTTCCAAGAGCAATGATATCCCCCAGGTCTCGGCAGGAGCGCAATCAGAAAGCTGCTTCTTCCTCCATGTGCAGGCAACGCCCCATCTATCTTTTAAATACCAAAATGCAGCCAAACCATTTTTTTTTTTTTGCTTTCAGTAGAGTGGAGAAGGGCAGTCAGGTTTTTGTTGAAGTTTGTTTACCTTTAGGGCAGATTTTTTCCTCATCTACTTTCCATGTGGCTGCCTGTCTCGGTTAGAGAGATTTTCTATCATTTCCTGTCCCAGTGATATGAGGACAAGAAATGAGGGGGAACAAAAAACACCTAAACCAAAACCCTAACCTTTCCCTACTCTTTAATAAATTGTTTTTGATGGGGTTGGTTTTAAATAATAAACGCAAGTTATCTTACAGTTTTCTACCAGAAAGATATAGTACCACTTGGAAAGAATACAAATAAAGCAAGGCTGCCTCTTGTCTAATATTATTAATCAAGCATTAAGAAGCTTAAAAGCAAACATTAAGTGAAAGGTAACATCTAAAACAGCAAACATTGATTCTCCTTACTTTATTTTCTCCATGTACTCCGGTGTATTTTGATTGGTCATGTTAGAAGGGCTAATATGAAGCTTGAAATCTGGTCCAAAATATTCAAAGTAATCATTGTATGGTAGCTCTGAGAAAAATAAATTACATTCAAAATTAACACATGACAAATCTTCATTCTTAATTACCTGTTTGTAAAGTATAAATATGAAAGTTCTCTGATGTCAAGTAAAGGTTTGAGCAGCGTTTTGTTCACTATGATATTTTTTATTCTGATGAATACACAACTACAGGGCCACCATCATGCAAGTGTAGACTGTGACTTACAACATCACTCTGAATAACTAGACCAAAATATTAGAATTTTTGGTTTACCTGTAAAATCCTTTTTTTGGAGTACATCACAGAACACAGAGGACTTTATATTCCTGACTACTTGGGATGTCCCAAAGCATTAAGCATGCAACAAAACCAAACTTGCTCAAAATACCCAAAATAGAACAGGGGGAACCCCACTACAAAGCTTCCCGTAATACCTTCTGCCCAAAACTGCCATCTGCGTGAACATCCACTTGTTAGAACCTGGTATGCACATATAGAACAGCTTAATGCTGAACAGTCCAGGAAGCGTTGACACTCCTGAGGGAATGGGCCCCTTAACCAGGTTAAAAGAACCTTGCCTTGATACCATAGGCATGAGAAAGGAGTTGATGAACCAACCTAGATATAGTAGACAAATGCATTTAGCCCTTATGAACAACATAGAAAAACAGTGAAGCACTTCCTCTTTAGGATTAGGACAAAAAGGATGGGAACATAATGTCCTGATTTAGTTGAAACAAAGAAACCACCATAGAAGAAAATAGGATCAAGGCTTCAACACCATCTTATCCTGGTGAAGAACACGAAAGGCTCCTTTAAGGAAAGTGCAGCAATGGCCATTAAAAAAATACCACCTTGCACGTGAGGAGTGACAACACTAAAATTAAGGTCTTATGGAGACGGGTTGTGCAAAAAAAAAAAAAAAAAAAAAAAAAAAAAAAAAAAAAAGCTTTCCACATACACTGTTACACAGTACCCTCCTGGAGTTTGATTTTCTAGCTACAAGGAAGTTAGAATCAGAAAAAACACCCCTATCCCTCAGGAATTGGGCTTCAACATGCAGTCACAGTCAGTGACCGTAAAGTAAGATGAAAGATTGGATCCTGTAACAGCATATCTAGATGATCTGTAGAGCCTAAGGTTCGACTGCCAATAGTTTGAAGATGTTGGCTTACCATGTTCTTCTTGGCAAAATCGCTGCAATCAAATTATGGGAAATGTCCTCCACCTTTATTCTGCACAACAGACAAGGAAGAATTTGAGGTGGGAAAGGCATAGATTATGGAAAACCGATCCCAAGGAATCATCAGGGCATCCAGTGCAAATGCCTGGGGATCCCTGGTTTGGAACACAAATCTGTTAAGTTTGAAGTTAAATTTGGACGCCAAGAGATCCACATCTGGCATCCCCCATTACAGACAAATCTCTGCAAAACACCACCTGGTGAAGGGCCCATTCTCCCAGATTTAGGCCTCATTCACACAGGACATTTTTTTTTTAACTCTCCTAGAAGCCAGCAGCATTTTTGAGTAAGACCTAGTTCACACTGGCATTAAAAACAGGCATTTTTAACACTCCTCAAACACCTATGCAAATTATACTATGGGCAGCACATAGTGCTGTTCACATTGTCAAAATATGAAGCGTTAGCATTGCATCACTTAAAAATTGAAGCCTCATGTCAAGTCAGGAGGAGTTGAAGCTTTTCAACGCCTCCCATTCAAGTCTATGGTGAAACTCCTCAAACACACTGGCAGGCGTTTGCGGGGCATTTGCTGCGTGTTAATAACATTACAGTTTATTTAGTTTGTGGTATGGTTTTAACACTTGTCAAAAGCTTATGAAACACTTCAAAACTGGACATAAGGTGTTTGGGGAGCGTTTTTAACATAATAAGCCAGTCTAACACCCATACTAAAGCTCATTAATGCCTGTCTAGCGGCCATCCTAAAGCTATAGGAGCACTTGGTAAGAGTTAAAAATTTAGTCAAAGTGTGAACAAGCTCTAAAAATGCCTGACACTCGTAAAAGTGTTTAAAACTTTTACAAGCTTTTAGGAGCTTTTACAGGTGTCAAGCTCTTGGGCGTTAATTCATTGCATTAGCCAGAATAAATTATTCTGGTCTTTGAAATGAATTAGTCTCAGTTAAAACGATTAGACGTGTTTAGCAGCTTTTAATAGTTTCAAGCATTTTTTCGGCCCAAACTCTTCTGCTCCTGGATGCACTGGCATTGGGGTTTTTTTTTTTTCCTGCCTCTAAAGGCTCCTGCAACTAAAAGCTGCTAAAAGCCTATTTGTGCATGGACACCTAGGCTAACATGGAGGGGTGTTTAGAGGCAGGGAAAAAAAAAAAAAAACATCACATTCCCCTAGAAACAGCTGTAAAAAAGTCCTGTGTGTATGAGGCCTAAATTGCTGGCAGCTGAAAGTCTGCCTGCCAATGTTCTACAATAGGAATGTGAACATTGGAAATGGCTGTAACGTGAAGTTACAGTTGTGCTCAAATGTTTGCATATCTGGCAGAAATCGTGAAATTTTGGCATGGATATTGAAAATTTGACTGATCATGCCAAAATACTTAAACAAAAATTAGCTGTATAGTCGAGTTGCCGGAAATAAGCGTTTACTGCGCCAATGCCACATAAACGTTTGGTTACAATATGCCAATAACACCTGGACATGCCTCACCTGACCTTTTTCTGCCACTGGTGCAGTAAAGGCTTCTTTTGGGGAATGCAAACATGCAGCTAATTTTTGTTCAAGAATCGTCATATTGTGCTCATTGAAACAACCACACAATCTTTCTTGGTTTACCTTGGTATCAAGAGACCCCCGAATTTTACATTTTGTAATAACTGATTGAATAGTACTGACTGGCATATTCAAGGCTTAGGATATCTTTTTATTTCCTTTTCCATCTTTATAAAGTTCCATTACCTTGTTACGCAGGTCTTTTGACAGTTCTTTTCTACTCCCCATTGTTTAGTTTCTAGCCTGCTCAGTGCATCCACGTGAGAGCTAAGAAACTCATTTGGCTAGTTATACACTCACGCTAATTGCAATTTAAAAAGCCACATATGTAGGAAAGGAACCTTTAATTGCCATTTTAACCTGAGTGTTTCACCTTGTGTTTCTGTACCAAGGCCAAACGTTCCAGGGTATGCAAAGCTTTGATAAGAGCCATTTTGGTGATTTCTGTTATGATTTTAGAAAGCAGCCAAAACAAATGTGATAATAAATGGGGTCATATGATTACGATCCTTAAATAAAAGACTTTTTTTGGCATGATCAGTAATTTTCAATATCAATGCTAACATGTCACAATTCCTGCCAGGGTATGCAAACTTTTGAGCACAACTATATGTCTAAGACAAAATCAGGTTTGCTTCCCCCTCAGCAGCATGACTTCTTGTCCCCCTTTGATGGTCGACACATCAGTGTCACTATCAGAATGAACTCTGACAGGGAAAACCTGGAGGTATAGACCAGAAAAGGAGAGCCAGACAAAATATCTGAAGTTCCAGGATGCTGATCAGACACACCACAGTGCACACCACATCTGCTAGAATGCCCACCGTGATCTTCCGTCTCTGAGACAGCCCTGAATCCCAAGATTCCTTCTGGAAGGACTCCACAGAACATTCCCGATACCACACCCTACTTCAACAAAGCTGATCACGCAGTCCACATATGGATGCACAAAATTCCTGCCTTGACATTGAGGTTTGTGCCCCTAAATGGTGAAAATACCAGGCAGGGGCAGGTATTTAGAGCAAGTCTGACTCTTTGGGGAGCCATTGCAGGGTGCACTTTGCAGGGGGTCCTCCCTGCCTGATAGAGGGGATTTGTCTTTTCCCCTACTGTGAAGCCATGGCTTGCAAGGGTTAAAAAGGCCAGTTAACCTGAAAGGTAAGCGGCCACCCAGCTAACAGGAGTGCTAGCCTATACCAGGACACCTATGTGGCAAGTCACCCTCAGTAGACACATGTACCAAAACTTGGTGTGCCTGACTAAAGTAGTGGCATTGCAGCTGCTCAGGACTGAAGGCAGAATAGCATTGAATCAGGTATCTCTCAGGACTTGGGGATTCCAGTGTGGTGTGACATTGCAGTGCTAGTAGCTCAAGAATATGCTCACTGCACCTAGGAACCAGTAAGAATGGCACCTACACATGCATGCATGACGACATCCTCTCACACGTGCACCACACTGAACCATACTGTTTGTGCTCAGCCACTGCCATATGTTGTTCCCATAGGAAAAACTGCCCAAATGCCCCGGAAAGACAGGAAACACTGGCAGGGGGACTGCCACATGCTCCACTAGAACAAACAACTCACCAGTCCATAGGTGCAGGGCCAGCAGGCCCAATCTTAACCTATCAAATGGGACGCACAGCAGGACCTTCCTTCAGGGGGTTCGCTACCCTGGACCTGTAGAGAACCCTTCTAGTGACTTCACCAGATTCACTGTATCCCTGAGATCGCTGCCAACAGGATCCAATAGTGCTCAACAGACATTACAGGCTGTTGTATGTAGGGTCCAGGTACAGCCCCCTCTTAGACATTAGGCCATGATCGATCAGGACAAAGCACTCTTCAACCCCATCAGGGGTGTTAGGAACAGGCTACGAGATCATACCTAAGCGTTTACAAGAAAAAGCTTCGAAGGTACATCCGTCACCTAGGGTCACAAGCTGAAAAAAAAAGGGGGTTTAGCCGATTTGGGTGGGGTTATGCCTGGTCGGGTACTCATGCCTTTTTTTTTTGGCCAGTATCCAATCAACTGAAGGTGGCAGCATAGTCAAAATAGCCATGAATATTAGGTTTTCTGTAGCCTGTGATATATGATTAGAACACCATGCTAACCTGCAGGAACATGGCAGAAGTAAAACGTTCACAAAATAGAGATAGAGACTCCTGCTATGTGCCCACTGCATTGTCCCAGCATAGCTTTTATATAATGCCTCAAAAAAACCTCAAGGTAAATGCTTCAGGCAGACTGAAATGCATTTCCTTGTGGATTTGCTTCCACTTTGCAATAAACAGCTGTCAAAGTAAAGCTGGCCAAACATGGATCGAAATTCAGCCAGGTCAAATTTCATTCAATATGTGGCTGAACCCACTTGGTAGAAGTCGATCGTTTCATCGGCGTCTGTGAAAAGGACATTTTTTCAGCTGCTGCTTTCAGAATACAATGTCCCAGCGGGAAGAACTCCTCCATCTGCCTTGTTTGTCTGGATGGAGGAATCTTTTTTTTTTTTTTCTCCCATTCAGTCAGTAGGCAAAACAAAAAGCTTAACTGTGACTGCAGGTTTACAGGCCCAACGCATCCAAAAACATATAGTAGCCCATCAACTCCTTGCGCAACAGCAATACTCTGTCAGACACCAGAAACAGAGGTACGAATACAGAAGGCAGTATTTGTACAAATATCAAAACCATACCAAACATAATACTTAAAAATATATTCCTCAATTGCCAATTTGTGTGACATAGTGCCTTTGCAAAACAGACTTTGCCTTGTAAAAGTAGTTGTGACATCACTGTGCTGGACATAGCCTGTGCAGAGCTATGAGAGAGATCAAGCAAGCCTACCCATTACAGTGCCTGCAGAAAACTATCTGGACTAAGTAGCTCATTAAGATAAGCTAAGACATACATGATGACATTTAAAGCAGAACTTCACTCTCAGCATCAACTATTTTGAATCCTTATACTGCTAGCATTAGTAAATGGATAGAAAAGTATATCATATTTCTTTGTTTTAAACTTTTTATTTACATTTTTTCAATTAACTACTGGTTTCCATCCCTACGCAAATGATGTCATACATCTCAGGAATCTTCAGGAGGAGAGGGGGGGTGGGAAGGCTTGTCTCAGCTAAGCACACCCTCCTAGTTACATGCCAGAGCTAATGGCAGAGGAATTCCAGGAAGCACATGCTACATGTATGATCTGCCTTACTCAAGATGCACACAGGCAGAAATGCTGGGGTGTGTTTTTCAAAGTGATTTCACAGCATAATAAAGCATGGAGACATGGATGGATGGGGGGAGTTTTCTTTTCATATTACAAATGAATTATAGCTTTTTTGGTTCGTGGTGGTCAGATACAGTGCAGTTCTGCTTTAAGTAATTCCTATGCATGCACCTAATCCTTGTAGGTATATGGCAGTGAGATCATATTCCCATAGATGCACAGCAAAGAATGTCCATATTCTTACGTATGCACAGTGCATGCATAAACATCGACAGTCCCGCAGGGCTGCTATCAATATGACAAGCAAGATCCCACACAAGTGCAGTAGTGATCTATGTTACCATGCATGGTATGCTGATGTTATCTGCCAGTATTTCAGCTTTGACTCAAACGTTCAAAACAATTATAGTAATATCACATTAGTCTTTTTTATATTTTGACAATCTGGGGGCATAATGTATGTTATTGTGAACCCCTACAAAAAGAAATGAGATGGCAAACTGTCTCAGTCTTCCAAGTCAATGTTTGCGAAAATAAATACCTTAAATCCATTGCAAACTCTCATTTTATCCTTCCCCTTTCACAAGACCTTATGGGTCTTTGTACCCCATTTAACCGTTACTTATATCTTCAATAATGAAACGGTTTTAAAAAAAACACATTGACCATAAAAAACCCTTTAAAACTTGATACTTCATAAAGCCAAAGTACATATAAACTAAACTTACCATTTGGGATTTCACAATCCAGTGCAACAGCAGTCTCATATGTCCAGCAACGAGCAACATTACGGATAGTATATCCACCTCCACCAAGCATGAGTAGAGGCAAGTTAAAAGTCTTCACAACTTCAACACACTTAGCATGGCCTGCAGAAAGTATATTCTGTTAGTGGAGTTATTCCAAGTATAGAGAGTCTACCTATTTCACTCAGTAGACTAACTACCAAGAGTTGTATGCATAAGCTCTGGTTCACACTGCTGTGACTTCAAGTGCGACATGTGACTTACAAATCACATCTAATGTATTTCTATGACACGGTCTTAATCAGTGTGATTTGAAGTAGAGCGATTTCAAAAATAGTTCATGCACAATTTTTTTACGATCTCATTGCGACTTGCATTGACTTCTATTAAATGAAGTTGCAAGCCGCAGTGAAATCGGAGGTACAAATCACACTGATCTGTGGTTTTGAAATCACGCTACTTTAAGTGAGTTTCAAAGTTGCATTCAGTGTGGACCAGGGCTAAAGTTGAAAAGCAAAATACATCTCAAACACATTTGTTTCTAAAATGCTTCTGAAGATGTTAAATTCAACCATGTCTAAATATACATTTTCTTTTATAAACTATGCAGCAGAGAACTATTAAAAGCGACACAAAATATTAAAAAAAAAAAATTGTTATTCCCAGTTAAAGTAGACCTGCTGCAGGTGAAAAGCTGCTGAGGCAATTAGCATCTTGCCCGCCGCTCTACAGCAGCAATACTGCTACAGGGTGGCAGGGCTACGCAAAATCACGTATATATACACACGTGATTTTGCATTACCGGGTAGGGGGTGCGTGCGCCCTACCCGCACCGCCATTGGCGGCTTCAGCTGTCGATCACCGGGTCCCAGCTGGTGATTCCGCCCAAGCACCAGGCAATCACCGAGTATCACTGATGGTGGAGAGGTTTGTATGTAAACAATACAGGTCTTTCCCGTCAGCTCCTTCACACTGCTTTGTGTGGGTTTGCATAGCAGAGCAATACAAAGCAGCGTGCTGTGTGCTTACACAATGAAACACATGCACAGCACACTGTAAAACAGCACACAGTCATCCCTTTGATCACCCCAGATGTTAACCCCCTCCTCCCCAGTGTCATTAGTATAGTGTCAGTGCTTTTTATTAGCACTGATCACTGTATTAGTGTCACTGGGGGGGGGGGGTGCCAGTTCCCCCCCCCCCCCCCCATGTCAGAATGCCCGCCGACACGAGGGGGATGGGGGTGGGAGTGATTTTCTTAGTTTCTGTTATAACATCTTGCAAATAAGTAATCTTTCTACACAAATTTAGGGCCAAAATATATTCTACTACATGTCCAGGACAGTACAAATACCCCTAAAATAACTGCTTGTTACATAGTTATTCTGGCTGAAAATAGACAAAAAAATCCATCCAGTTCAAACATAGAAAAAAAAAAAAAGTTATAATCCTATATCCACAGTTGATCCAGAGGAAGGCAAAAAAAATCCCAGCAAAGCATGATCCAATTTGCTCCTGCTGGGAAAAAAAATTCCTTCCTGATCCCCCGAGAGGCAATCGGATATTCTCTGGATCAACTTTACCTATAAATGTTAGTATCCAGTTATATTCTGTGTATCTAAGAAAAAATCCAGGCCTTTTTTAAAGAAAGTAATCCACTGAGCTGGCCAGAACCAACTCTTGAGGGAGTCCATTCCACATTTGCACAGCTCTCACTGTGGAGAAACCTTTCCGTGTTTGGAGAATAAATTTCTTTTCCTCCAGACGTAAAGAGTGCCCCCTTCTCCTCTGTGATGACCTCAGGGTGAATAGCTCTACACCGAGTTCACTATATGAACCACTGATGTATTTATACATGTTGATCATATCCCCCCTTAATCTCCTCTTCTCAAGAGAATAAATTCAGTTCCTCTAACCTTTCCTCATAGCTGAGCTCCTCCATGCCTCTTATCAGTTTCGTTGCCCTTCTCTGTACTTTCTCCAGTTCCCCAATGTTCTTTTTGTGAATTGGTGCCCAAAATTTAACTGCATATTCCAGATGAGGTCTTACTAATGATTTGTACAGCGGTAATATGATATCTCTCTCTCTGGAATCTATATCTCTTTTATTACAAAAGAGGATTTTGCTCGCTTTAGAAACCGCAGCTTGGGATTGCATGCCATTATTAAGCTTGTGATCTACCAGAACTCCCAGATCCTTCTCCACCATTGATTCCCCCAGTTGTACCCCCCTAGTATGTATGATGCATGCATATTCTTAGCCCCCAAGTGCATAACCTCACATTTATCAATATTAAACCTCATTTGCCACATAGTTGCCCAATTAAACAGTTCATTGAGGTCGGCTTGTAAATTGAAGACATGCTGTAAGGACGTTATTCCACTGCACAGATTGGTGTCATCTGCAAAGGTTGAAATGGGATTTGTAATCTCAGACCCTATATCGTTTATAAATATATTAAAAAGTAAGGGTCCCAATGAACCTTCGGGTACACCACTGACGACCCTAGACCATTCAGAGTATGAATCATTAACCACTACTCGCCTGTAGACTTTACCTTACACATTAGCCGTGTGTGGGGAACTCTGTCAAACACTTTTGCTAAATCCAAGTATACCATGTCCACCGCTACCCCTCTGTCCAAGGTTTTGCTCACCCCCTCATAAAAAGAAATCAGATTTGTTTGACAACTTCTGTCTTTCATGAATCTATGCTGTCTGTTGCTTAAAATATTTTTTTCGAGCAAGAACTCATCTATGTGGTCTTTTATTAAACTCTTCAGTATCTTCCCAACTATAGAAGTTAAACTAACAGGTCTATAATTACTTGGTAAAGATTTTGATCCCTTTTTAAATATTGGCACCACATTGGCCTTACACCAATCCAGTGGTACTATGCCAGTCATTAAAGAGTCCCTAAAAATTAGAAATAATGGCTTTGAAATGACTGAGCTCAATTTTATAAGGACCCGTGGGTGTATGCCATCCGGTCCAGGTGCTTTATTCACCTTTATACTGTCTAAATATTTCTGGATCATATCAACTGTGAGTCAATGTGGATCATCTGGAGCTGTGTCAATACTATGTCCATTATGGACAAGAGCTCCCCCATGCTCCTTTGTATACACAGAGCTGAAGAAGGTATTAAATAAATTTGCCTTCTCTTTGTCCCCCAGTCACCCACTCTAGATTGTTTTGTAAAGGGCCTACATGCTCTGATCGGACCATTTTACTATTAGTATGCTTGAAGAATTTTTTGGGGTTGGTCCTGCAATCTTTTGCAATCTGTCGTTCGTTTTCATTTTTTGCGGCCTATATTTCCTTTTTGCATATTCTGTTATATTCTTTGTAATGCTTAAACGATGATAGTGGTCCTTTGTTTTTATATTGCATAAAAGCACTTTTCTTATTATCTATAGCCTTTTTAACTTTGGCCGTAGGCCACATAGGTTTGATTTTTAGCCTTTTAAACTTGTTGCCCATGGGAATATATTTTGCAGTGTTTTCACATACAGTCTTTTTGAAGAACTCCCATTTCTGTGTTGTGTTCATCAATGCCAATATTCCCTCCCAGTCTAAGTCTTAGAGAGCAGCTCTCAGCCTTGGAAAATTAGCTCTCTTGAAATTGAGCATTTTTATTTTTCCCGTATGTGCTTGCCGTTTACAGCTAACAATAAATGAAATCTTATGGTCACTGATACCCCTATGTTCTTTTATATGGACATTCGTAATAAGCTCTGCATGGTTTGAGATTACCAGGTCCAGCAGAGCATCATTCCTAGTAGGGGCCCCTATTAACTGTACTATAAAATTGGAGAGTAGAATGTGTGAGGTATTTAGTAAGCGGCATGGTGAGTTTTTTGAAGTTGTCATTTTTTGTTATAATTTTGTGGAAAATGAAAAGAAAAGTGTTTTCACAATTTTTTTTTTTTTCCCCCCATACTGTCACTAATGCAGTACAGTGTCAACTGGTACGGCAGTGATCAGGAACACCGACTGGCAACAGTATGTAAAAAAAAAAAAAAAATACACAATATATTTTTTATTTTTTTCTACTCCTGTGACCAGAGCAATATAATGTTACCATAGTAATGTTGTACTACTCTAGGCAAATGGTCAGGATTTTTTATTTTTATTTTTTTAAATACACATTGTGATTGCTTATACCAATGAATTTCATCGGTATAAGCAAGCATTTTTACTGAATGAAACGGATTCATTCAGTAGTTTTTGTTGTGGTCAGCTGGGATTGGCCATAGCTGATCGCATGCTACAGATAGGTTGTGATTGGCCCAGTCTGTACATGTGACCAATCACAGCTTGCAGCACAGTAGTAAGCAATGAATGGCATGAAAGGAAGCCATTCATTGTTTACAACTGTCATTTGATCTGCTGTGATTGGTCACAGCAATCACATCACACTGGCAGGGGGCGGTGTAGTGATCTGTCAGCGGCTGTGTCCTGTAGACAAAGCCTGTGACAGATCATACTGGAGTGCGGCCGACGTGGAGCAGGCGAAGCGGTCACCCCATGATAATAGGGTTCTTACTAGGCTGTCAACGTACAATAGGCCGGGCAGAAAGGAGGTAAACTGAGGAACAATGCCGGTTTCTAGGCTGGTGTGGCCCCGGCGAGAACTTTGTTAGCCTGACAGCTTGCAAGTGATTATGTTATAGCAATTGCATGATTGGAAACCATGATGAATATTTCCAGATTGTCAGTAGATATTGAATTCATCAGGCTCACCTGTAAAAAAAGATCTTATGTAAAATTAAAGTGGCTCTAAAGGGAAAAAATATTTTTACCTCAATGCATTCCCTACATTAATGTAAAAATACCTCCTCACCTTCTAAAGACTTACCAGAGTCCTCACTTGATCCAGAGCTGTGCCCACATGTAGCAGCTCTCTCCACTCTCTCACAGGACTGAGAGGCTGCAGCTGGAGCCTTTGCTGCTGCTTTCAGCAGAGGGCAAGGCTGAGCTACACCGTGTCTGTCATAAGAAGCTAATTCCACCAGCAGGGGACCCCAAAACAGCAGGATCAGGGCCACTCTGTGCAAAACCATTGCACGGAGCAGTCAAGTAAAATTATATATCTCAATATCATCATTATTACAGATTACATTTGGAAAATGATTAATGGAGAATTAATCACCATAAAATCTTCAACAAGACGTGCATGAAGCAAAACACGTTGCATGCTTCCTGTGTCTATTCAGGACAATCTATGAACCATAAGGAAAATACATTTCAGAAATTGAACTGGATTTCCTCAAGGCTTGTAGATGCTGAAAATCATTAATCACAATTGGAAATCTTAGTTACCTTTTACTGTTAAATTGAAACACCCAAGGCGGTCTCCTGACAATGAATCGGCACCACACTGTAAAACTACTGCACTGGGCTGGTACATCTCCATTACTTTGGAAATGATCTGTGTGGAAATAGAAAATTATCTCGGAATAGATCAGTCCTTAAATACAGCACATAACAAGCATAAATAGTAGGTATTAAAAGGAGAACTGTCAATGCGAAAATAAAACAAAAACACAAAATTATGTGCACCTGTTTTACCTGTGACATGCACTAATCCTCAAGCTGAAGGTTAACCTACATTTATTTTCTTCCCTAATATACCCTCATCAGCAAACATCTGCATTAGAAACAAGCAGTCATCTAGTGGCTCCCCACCTTGAATGTAGGTTATTACGCTAAATGGTCATTTATGAAAACAGGAGCGGTATCAAGTCGCAGACAGGCTTCCTTCCTGTTGCAGGCTAAAACATTATGGAACATGTGTTATTCAAAAGTATCACCCAATTACTAAAAAGCTCAGAAATTTCTTACTTCACACATTACATATATTATATCATTTTGTGTCTTGTCTGCAGTTATTTTACATGAGGAAGAATCAGAATCTAAAGAGGAATTCTACTTACTGGCTTAAATATTTGTCCGTATGATTCATCATCAATTCCATCCCTCATTGGAAAATTGACAGCATAATACTTTCCTTTTCCAGCACCAATATCCTGGAAAAGTGTAATAAAGATTTGAAAAGCCTTTTAAAGACACAAAATAAAATGAACATACAAAACAGAATGCAACTGCATCAACATGAACCTTTTTCTTGCTCCCCCCGTTAACATAATAGTCTGCCAAGAACGAAGAGTTAGTCTTGTGTAGGTCACAACAACTTGGAGCTTACACACAGGGCTGAGGAGTTCTTCCCCACCCACATGTGAAAGTGATGAACAGAATAAATTTTTAGCCACTTCAACAATGGCCACTTTTACCCCCATTCCTGCCTAGGCCAATTTTCAGCTTCTAGCATGGTCTCACTTTGAACGACAATTGCACAGTCAGGCAACACTGTACCCACATTACATTTTTTATATAATTTTTTTGAGACAAAGAGCTTTCTTTTGGTGGTATTTAATCACCACTGGGTTATGTTTTGCTAAACAAACAAAAAAAGACAGAACATTATGAAAAAAAAAAAAAACACAACACACACACACCCTTTGTTTCTGTTATAAAAATTAGCAAAAAGGTCATTGATGTGCGTTGATAGGCTGCACTGATGGGCACTGGTGAAGAGGTACTGATGAGGTTGCACTAACTAAAACAAAAAAAGACAGAACATTATGAAAAAAAAAAAAAACACAACACACACACCCTTTCTTTGTTTCTGTTATAAAAATTTGTAAAAAAGTCATTGATGTGCGTTGATAGGCTGCACTGATGGGCACTGGTAAAGAGGTACTGATGAGGCTGCACTAATGGACAAGGATTGGCATGGATGGTGCTGCACTGATATTCTGCATCAATGGGCACTGATATGCTGCACAGATGATTAGTGCCCTGATTGTCAATGTAAACATTCCGTTTCTTTCCTCAGCGCTGTCAAAGCTGATCACATGGTACAAAGCCAACGTCATTGGTTCTTTACTCTGATCACCACCGGCTGCTGCACTGCGCACCTCCGGAGGGAAGGAACGCCTGCCTAGCCGTCAGTCTGCTATTGCCCAGGTGGGAACCAGTTAAAAAGGTTTGATTTCATTAACGTGAATAAAACAGACTGTATAACCGGTTACCGACCAGCCATAGTACACACACACTGCGGCAGGGCGGCACCGGTGCACAAAATCACGGGTAGGGGGCACACGTGAGGAGCGGGACCGCCCTACTCACGCCATTGACCGTGGCCATCAATCACCGGGTCCTGACAGGTGATTACCCGCTGGAGACCGGCGATTACCGGCAAACACTGACAGGGAGGACAGCTCCTCTGTCAGTTTGAGCACACTGGTCCGGAACGCTAAGCACAGCTTTCCGGATCAGTGTGTTACTGTGAAGAATACCCCCCCCGCCCCATAGTGAAACACTCCCCTCCTCACACAGTTAACCCTTTGATTGCCTCCAAATGTTAACCCCTTCCTCCCCTGTCCCATTAGTACAGTACGAGTGTTTTTTTTTTGCACTGATCACTGTATTGGTGTCACTGGGGATGTCAGTGACCCCAAGTCAGTTACCTCCCAGTGTCAAAATGTCCGCCGCAGTCCCGCCATAAGTCGCCGATCGTCGCCATTATTAGTATATATATACATACACACACACACACACACACACATATATAAAAATTCCAGTATATATTCACCGCCATTTGTAGACGCTATAACTTTCACGTAAACCAATTAATTTACACGTATTGGGATTTTTAATTAGCAAAGACATGTCGCAGAATACATTTTGGCAGAAATTTATGATGACATTTGATTTTTACTTTTACTGGACATGTTTTATAGCAAAAAGTCCAAAATATTATTATTTTTTCGTCATAATTGTCGGTCTTTTTTTAGAGCGCAAAAAATAAACAAAATGCACAGGTGATCAAATACCACCGGAAGAAAGATCAATTCATAGGGAAAAAAGGGACATAAATTTCTTGTGCAGTTTGCATGACCGCGCAATTGTCAGTTAAAGTAACGCAGCGCTGTAACACAAACCATTTCCTGACCGCCCTATAGCAGAAATACTGCTACAGGGCGGCAGGGGTTCGCAAAATCATGTATATATAAACATGATTCGCGCTCCCATGGTTTTCATGCCCCTCCCAGATAGCGTCAGATTGCCTGTCAGTACACCAGTAATCACATTTAACCCCTTGATTGCCAGGAATATGCTCATACACAATAAACCTCCATTGCTAGTATAGTGTCTGAACGGATCAATATCTTTGATCAGATCAGCACTATACCAGCGTTCTCATTAGTATAGTGTCCCCAAAAATGCAGCGTTAGCAGGATCAGCCCCTTGTCACTTGATACATTGCACACAAAACCGCAGTTTTGGCAGAATCAGGCCTGATCTGTTAGCACTTGCCAGTAAATTTTGATGACTCTCATATGCAGAGTGCCATTACTAGTGCCGCTCTACCTTTTGGTGAAGTGGCGAGCACCAGCGGCCTAGTACATCCTGGTCTTTCACATACCAGCACTGCAGTATCATTTGATGACGTGGCGAGTCCCATAAGTGTAGTACAAGCTGGTGCGGTGGCAACCACCAAGAATTGAGCCCCTAGTATCCTTCTGGATGTGCTTGCAAATCCCGATTGGTAGCTCACAAATTCTTCAGCACCCATACTTCCCCCATTCACTGCCCAACCTGACATTCAGGCGGAAACAGCAACTACTCCCCTTGATTTTTTGGAGCTGATTTTCACGGAATATCTGTATGCATGGATTGTGGATCAAAACAATTTATATGCACAACAGTTTATCGCAGCCAACCCAAATTCAAACCTTGCCACACCATTTGCATGGAAACCCATTACGATTTCCGAATTTAAATTTTTTTTGGGCCTAACCCTCAACACGGGCATTACAAAAAAAAATAAATTGCGGTTGTATTGGACCACAGACCCGATTCATCATATGCCGTGTTCTCTGCTGCCATGGCCAGGCATAGATATGAGAGTATAATGTGTTTTATGCATTTCAACAATACACACTGTCATCCTCGAGGTGACCCTGAATTTGACTGGCACCACAAAATTCAGTCCCTCGTAAATCACCTTAACCAAAAATTTGCAGATGTCTATACTCCCCAGCGAAAAATCTGCGTAGAAGAGAAGAACATAGCATATACCCAACAAGGATCAGCGACGTACTGGTGCATCCCTGGAATTTTAATGGTTATTCCAGGATGATGCCTACAGCTGCAGGCATCATCCTGGTATCATTTAATTCAGTCGGCGATCGGCTTACATGTAAAAGCAATCCTAGTGGCTAATTAGCTGCAGAATTGCTTTTACAAGCAGTGGGAGAAGATGCCCCCCCCCTCCCCGCTGCCTTCCACAGCCTTCTCAGGCAGTCCCCTGCCATCGGGGGAACCTGAGAATGCAGCCGGTGTTTCTGCCAGCTGACCATAGAGCTGATTGGAGACCACAATGGTGCCAATCATCTCTATAGGCTAAGAAATCAGAAGCTACAAGCATTTCATCACTTCAGTTTCGCAGGATATAAACAGTGCCATTTGTAAATTACAGTCCTCCTCTGTAAATCTAAAATGGTAGCTTATAAAGGCTTTTAAAACTATGCCTATGGATATTAAAAACGTATGTAGTTTGTCACCATTGCACGGGGCATGTGCAGTATTAAATCATGTCATGTTTGGCATCTATTTACTCAGCATACGATCATCTTTTATATTTTACTAAATAATTGGCCGATATATTGTGTTTTTGTGTATTAAAAGTTAAAAAAAGTTTATTTTTTTAAACATTTGCTTTTGAAAAATCGCTGCACAAGTACTATGACATAAAAAATTGTAGTACCCACCATTTTATTCACTAGGGTGTCTGCTTTAAAAAATATATATAATGTTCGGGGGTTCAAATTATTTCTTAGCAAAAAATACAGATTTTTTTTCATGTGAACAAAAAAAAGTGTCAGAAAAGGCTTGATCTTCAGGTGGTTAGAAGAGTGAGTGATATGTGGCATAAACTTCTAATGCTGGTCATAAAATGCCCGCACCCCCCAAAACGACCCCCTTTTGGAAAGTATTTGCTGAGAGCCATGTTGAATCAATAGAAGAATTAATTTTTTTATAAGTTTTTGGAAAATGACAAAAAAAAAATGTTTTTTTTTTTTTTACACAAAATTGTCACTTACAGTTGTGTCCAAAATTATTCAACCCCCAATGCTGTAAAGGGGTTTAGGGACTATAGTGTACATTTGGAATTGTATTCAGAATCAAATCCTACAAGGACGTTGTAACTACCCAAATGCAACTAAAATGACATCAATTGTTTATGTAATACAGTAGTAAATGGTTCTTATGTGGTTTCTTCATTGCCACAATTATTCAACCCCTTAAAGACTACCACTCTGAAGAACAGAGGTTCATACAGGTGCTTTCCATCAGGTATTGAAAACACCTGTGGATGTCACCGAGCAGCAATCAAGCATAATAAGCACCAATTAGGCAGCTTTAAAATGACTGTGATACTCAGCTCCTTCTAGACATTTACTGGTGTGGTTACAAACATGGTGAAGGCAAGAGAATGGTCAGGAAGACAAGAGAAGAGGTGATTTCTCTTCACAGGAAGGGCAATGGCTATAAGAAGATTGCAAAGATGTTAAACATACCAAGAGACACCTTAGGAAGCATCATTCGCAAATTCAAGGCAAAGGGCACTGTTGAAACGCTACCTGGTCGTGGCAGAAAGAAGATGCTGACTTCGACTGCTGTGCGCTACCTGAAGCGTAGAGTGGAGAGAAGTCCCCGTGTGACTGCTGAGGAACTGAGAAAAGATTTGTCAGATGTGGGTACAGAAGTTTCAGCCCAGACAATAAGACGCACACTGCGTAATGAAGGCCTCCGTGCCAGAACTCCCAGGCGTACCCCCTTGCTGTCTCCAAAGAATAAGAAGAGTCGACTGCAGTATGCCAAAAGCCATGTGGACAAACCACAAAAGTTGTGGGATAGTGTTCTGTGGACTGATGAAACAAAATTAGAACTGTTTGGG